ATGCACCTCTGCCTACCCCTTCGGGGATAAAAGGCGTGATGTTATGTTATGTTACTTAATCGATAACCCGCATTGAGCAAGCGTAGTGATTAATGCTCAAGCCTTCTCCGTGTGAGAAGAGGCTTTGCTCAGCAGTGGGCATTTTATAGGCTGTTGATGATAATAATGGATTAGTTAAACATTAGGATTATATCGTCAGTCATCTGGTACTGGTCCAAATGCGATTGCTAAACACAAGGTCAAGGTTTCTTTCCTGGGTCAGTTCATGGGTTATTTTTACTATCAACAGCCTGTAACAATCCACTGTTGGACTATGAGCCTACTCTACATAAAGAGGGTATGCCGTCACCCCCACAGGCGGGTTGGAGATCGCAGTATAAAAGGTTCAGGTTTATTAGAGAGCGCTGCTGCCCGGTCTCTGTCTAATGTGTAGTCCCTTACTCGGGTATACGACACCCGCGGGAAGAGTAGCGGTGGTGACAAATGAATTATGCTCTGACGTCACTACCCGACTGCGTATGTTATTGCCCATTTAATATTAAGTACTAGATAAACATAAAAATAACAAAGTCATGAATAATTTCGAAAAGTCATTCAAAAAGTTGTACGATCATTATTTCTACTTTCAAAACTTGGTTTTATTCACACATTCGGTCATCATTGAAGATTCGCGTGACAACATACTTGATGGTTGTGTTGTAGTTAATGATGTGAGCTTGCGAAAGGTATGTCGTAGGTTCAAACCCTGACTGCGCCATGTAGATACATTAATGGGAGATCCTTTAGTGTATCGTGGCGACCTGGAGGTTTATGACGCCTGCTTCTCATACATGAGAGTGCTGGTTCGAAACCTACCAACGGCAAGTACCAATGTGAATTTATCTCAAGTACGTTGATTATCTAGACACCACTGACAAACGGTGAAGGAAAAACATCGTGAGGAAACCTGGGTTTATAATTTCTAATTATAAGTTTAAAATCACCAACCTGCATTGAGCAAGCGTGGTGATTAATGCTCAAACCTTCTCCGTGTAAGAAAAGGCCTTTGGTCAGCAGTGGACATTTATAAGCTGTTAATATTGATCGCCTTTTATCTCATAAATAAAGTAAAATGTATTATTTTGTGAAATTCTATGACGTGACAAGTCGCAGTATCCAGGTCGCTTCCAACCTCGTGATGTGTACTCATTGGTGGAGGACTGTGGGGGGCAGTGGACAGTACGTGGCTGTACGCATGATGATATCCCAAAGAGGTATTTTTTTTGTTTTGTTTATTTGATTTTTTTTTATTTGTAATCTTGTTTTTTTTTACTGATTTTATTATAAGTTTAATTTATCAATAATTGTAATACAATTTATACAACTGTAACTAAATTTAATGTTCCAATAATTCCGTATTTATATAATTAGTAATTGACATCCTAATGTATTTTTTCTTTTCTTTTTGAGATAGATATGCACCCATGGAATCATTTGTTATTTGTTATTTTTCTGTATGTTTTGTTCATCGTTTTATTTTTTGCATGTGGTGTTAACCTATAATTAATTGTTCCACTTGTAAATGTTTGTATAGCTATTTAATCAGTAATGTATATAGTGTAAACAATTGTTGGTTAACCAAAATAAATAAATAAATAAAATAAAAAGAGGTAGACAGAAATACTCTTATAAACTGTAATACTAGCTTTTCGCCAGTCATCTTTTTTATGGGATAAGCCAGTAAACGAGCAGCTGGATCACCTGATGGTAAGCTATCGACGTCGCCTATGGACACCTGGAACACCAAAGGCGTTACAAGTGCGTTACCGGCCTTCTGGATTAGGAATTTTGAGGATTCAGGGATTGGGGAAAGGGAGATTGGGTAGATTTAGGAGGGACGGGGCTCCGGTAACCTCACTTATACGACGAGACACAAAGCACACGTGTAACCTCACACGACGAAACACAACACAACGTTGTTTCACTCCGGTCGAGCCGGCCCATTCATGTCGAAGCATGGCTCTCCCACACTTAATTATTACGAGTCTCATGTTATCTTAAACTGCATCTTCAACCCTGTTAAGCAAGAAGATTATGGCAACCCCTCTTATGTAGAAGAGGATCATAGTTCAACAATAGAGAGTTTTGTTCATATCGCTGTAGATACGTTTCAAAACCAAAGTCTCTCTTACACTACATTAACAGTGAGACCAAAATTAAGCGAAGTTTTTTAACAATTAGATTGTATTGTACGACGACCAAAGAAAGTGTTTTACTTTCCCAAAATAAAAGAACATTGAATCTTAACGTCATGAGCTAATGGTTACATGTAAACGGCAGCTCATGTAGTGCAAAGATTGTTCAGTCAACAAGGATGTAGCGTACACTGTCCAGGCGACACACGTACTTAGGTATCGTCATGAGCTAATGTTCACATGTAAACAGCAGCTCATGTAGTGCAGAGATTGTCCAGTCAACAAGGATGTAGCGTAGACTGTCCAGGCGACACACGTACTTAGGTATCGTCATGAACTAATGTTCACATGTAAACAGCAGCTCATGTAGATGTTCAGTCAACAAGAATTTGATTGGTGTGGATGGAAATACCATGACGAATGGACAGACTGACTCTTTTAAAATTTCTATTTAAAGTTCAAAAGTACCTTTCTGGTCTAATTAAAATAAATGAATTTGACTTTGATTTTGATGGTCAAATCGAAAACAATATTATTATCTTTGAACGTGTCATCCCTGATTGAAGGTCAAGGTCAACAATTTTATCAAACATCCGTCCTTTTTGACTTATTTTTCTTTAATTACTGTGTCAACAGAAGGCACCAGTTATTTGCTGTACTATCTTGCAGAACAGTCACATCAACAGCCTATATATGCCCACTGCTGAGCAAAGCCTCTTCTCACACGGAGAAGGTTTGAGCATTAATCACCACGCTTTCTCAATGCGGGTTGGCGATTACAAACTTATAATTAGAAATTATAAGTCCAGGTTTCCTCACGACGTTTTCCTTCATCGTTTGTCAGTGGTGTCTAAATAATCTTAGAAAGTACATATAACTCGGAAAAAGTCCCATTGGTACTTGCCGTTGGTAGGTTTCGAGCCCTCATGCACGAGAAGCGGGCGTCTTAAACCTCCGGGCCACCACGACGGACAGTCAC